GACGCAATGGGACCTTTTAGTTCAATACTTCTGATTATATCAACTGAAATTTCTGTTGAAGATTTGATGTCAAATTTTATAGTAATTAATTCTTTATTATTTTTTATCCTTGTACAGGTACTTTCAATAATATTTGCTATATATTTTACCAATATTTTTTTCGATCAACTATTTTGGCTAGGGACTATATAAAGCCCAGAACAGTATAAAGTATCACAGGTTTTCAGAAAAGATGTGACTCTAGACTTTCGAACTGAACTCGGACGTTAGCCTGGTTTCTGTAGATATTACTAGGAAGAAAGCTCTAAAAGAATAATAATTAAAAATTACTTTACTAGTTTTACGGTATCACCGTAAAAGCGTGATCACTTTTATATATATATATATATGTATGTGTGCTTCAAATATTATGTATTTAACTGTTCCTAATCTATTTTACTTGTTCATTTTTCTTGTCTACACGTACTACTCTAATATTTCTTAAAGGTATGCATACGTGCATAGTTAAATAATAGAGAAGTCCTATAAAAATTATTCCTGGAATCGCATATTCGCGACAAAAGGCTACCCAATAAGACTCATCCCCAGATACACGAGCTGGATCTATGAAAAAGTTGCCCATCGTGGCTGAAAAAATGGTTACCTGTGGCATGTGATTTCGATTAGGATCCTCTTCTTATTATGCAAGTATCAACTTAAAAAAGAAAGTATGAATCATCACGTGGAAGAGCGAATGTTTGTAAAATATAGAAGGAAAAAGTGTGAGTAAATTTCGTACAGCGAATCAAAAGTGAAGGACACCGCTTGGAATTCCTCTACATCTCTCACATAATATTCACTCCCACACCTGAAAAGGTTTCAAATTAAAAAATTTTATGAATTAAGAAACTTGCTAATTTTTTGGAAGAAGAATATCATTAATGAAACTTAACTCCTTTTCCCACTACTTATATCGACAAAGATATATTATGCCGCGCATATGAAGGGTTGTTTTGATGCATATGTATTGGGGAATTGCAAATATTACTTCTTCATTCACATTAACAATTCACTTTAAAAATTAAGCAAGTAAACCTTAATCCACAAACAAATAAAATATTAATATATAGATAAACAAAAAAAAAAGATTGAACGCACAAAGAAATCATTTCTTTTTGTTGTTGTTGTTTACTATCATTTTAGTTTCCCATTTGGACTTCCAGGTATCAAGAAGTGCGTCTATCAACGTCTCTCTCTCTCCCCTCTCTCCTGGATCCTACACTTCGGTGTCTTCAATACGGATTAAAAAGTGCGTCCGCGATGTCTTATCGGCTCTCGGCTTTAAAGATACTTCATTAAGCTTCGAATTTGAACACAAGGCTGCATGTGCCTCACGAATAAGCCATCTGCGTAGTGGCAACCCATCTTCCTCAGGATGATCGTTGATCCCAGACAACTGGTTGATAAGGAAGTCATCATTACAACATCCCTCCGCAAGGAGGCGCTTGCGAGGAAGTAGCACAGTAATAGTCGCAGGTGGCATGTTTTTTTATAACAATTTTCTTTGACTTAAATTTTATTAAATGGAAAGATGATCTTAATCCTTGTTGGGGATTTTGGTAGAACATTTGTTAAGTTAAAAATACGAAAAAAAAGATTGGAAGCACATTATTTATTTGATAAAATAATGCAGTACTAATGAAAAAACTTATCAGGGCAAATACCCAGAGTATATGTGGGATGATTCATCCCCAGCTACTGTACACTCTTTGTTGTGAAAACTCGAGGCAATGGGTAGATAAGTTTTGATTAAGCCTCTGCTCTTCTAGGATTGTATTTGGCAAAAAAAAAAAATGATATCTCTTCAGAAGAAGATCGAGGAAACCCTTAAAGTCATATGTCTTTGGAGTCCATGCAGAATCTACTTCAGACTCCTTAGGAGCAACTATTCGACTGATATGATTTGAAAATTAAGGTGGGCAATGGTGGTAGTGGCGCAGGAAATGACATCCACCTTAGCCCACCCCTTGTCAATTTCATCTTTATTGGATGAGATACACAGCTCTTTGCTGACTAGTAAATTTAGCAGGCAACGTTGATATAGTATGTGAGAATGCATGCTTTGAGATGCATCGCGATGTTATCACCCTACTCCGCGTTCGCAGCCAGAAAATAAATCATGCTTCTCACTCCAATACAAAACAAAAAAAAGGGGTTCCGCTCCGTTAAGCTCAATCAAGGCTACATCCACACATCTATGGTGCAGGCCCCTACTCTTTGGTAAGATGGCTTTAGCAGGTCCCCAAACCCGTTTGAGACTGTCAGAAAAAAAGAGTCATTGCAAGGGTGCGGCGAACCGCTGTCATTTAGGACAAGAAAGAGGTTTGCCAAGAAGTCTAGAAAAGATAAAGTATTTAGATTTACCCCATTAGATTACGCCATCCCTTTTTGTTTTCTTTTAAAATAGGGGACAAACACGAATCAGCAGAGAAATCACCGATCTCAACATTCGCAGCTAGACGTTATATAGACTTCAAGAGAACTATCAACTTGGTCCGCAAGGCAGCTGATAAGCGTACATGGAATCACACAAGCCGCGTGGGCTTTCCTGAGAAGTACTGCCATAATCGATGTTTATAGGATGGGATTTTTCAAAGACACATCTGATTCCGTCCTTAATTCGATTCAAAAATATAGAAGCTGAACAAACCCCCTACAACTGTACAGATTAAAAATCCGTCTAACGATTCTATTCAGTACTGTGCGAAGTAGCAATAAAGAACATAACAGAAATACAGAAAGCTATAAGGAGAGAAGGCAACACGGTCACATATGCATGAAATCTTGGAATCAGAAGAAAAAAGATAGACAAGCTAAAATCGTCCTGGGCATCGTCATCCCCTCCCCCCCCCCCCCCCCTCCAACCACCAATGAAACACCTCACCCACATGCATTTCAACCTTTCTTCTGACATGCGTGCGGCCTGCGAAGGGAAAAGAGGGAGGAGGAAAAGAAGACGCTGACTTTGTTACCGATAAGCTCGTTCAAGTAGAGGCGTTGATTGCCACTTTCCACGCTTAGCGTCTGCAGCACTCAGAGCAGTATCGCGCGCCATGGGGTGACCATCCAGCAGAAAGCTTGTCAAGTGGGCCTCAGATAATGACAAAATCTCCGAAATCTGATCTATCAAGTTCGATGTAATACGTGCCGCTGGACCTAAGGCCAGCTGGTGTATGGCTTGAACACCTCCGGAATTGCGTTGCGTTCTTGTTGGACTATAATTGGCCTCCAGTAGTAACAACTCGGATAGCATTTCATGCGGCACATTGCATTCATCTTCAGCATACAGACGCCGTACCTCGAAAACACCTCTGGAAGCTATGGCAAACAGCTCTTCTCGAGCCTTTTCCTGTGCGTCCTCTTCCAGAAGCATAAAAGAAGACGAGAGATTGCAATCCCTATCGTCCTGTCCACTACCGCAGTGCGCTGCGATGTGGCAGCACCGTAGGAGGGCCTGAACGAGCATGTGTCTGGCCTGTCTCACGGGAATAGGAAGAAACTTCTCCCTATGCCTTGGGCGCCGCTCCACAAGCCTCGCGTAGGTCTCGAGAGCGTCTTTCCAGTCCAACGTTGTGTGCAAGGCATATATTTTCGTGTCCTCAAACCACTCTAGCTCCGGCGCGTCGGTTCCGAAAGTGAGCGTGAGGTGATCCTTCAAGCGTTTCATCAAATCGCTGCTGGCGTCGCTTGTGGCGACAAGGTAGCAGCTTCGGAAGACCGACTGCAGCTCCATCCTCCTTGCAAGAGGCTGCTGCAGCCACGCGTTCGAATCGTAGTAATGGAAAAGCTCTGCGGCAAGAGCACTTTTCCTGGTCGCAGTGCGTACGTGTTGGCTAGCAAGCAACTGCAAGCATGCGACAGTACAGGGTCGATCGAGTCCAGCTCCGTCCTGCACGAGCCGCTCGACTTTTTCACCCACGGTTGTCGTCAACGTGACAACACATCGAAGCGACTGCAGATAGACCAGCAATGCCTCGGAGTGCAGACTGCGCAGTGTATAGTGTAACTCGAACATCGACCAAAGGGCCTCGGAATGTGCTGCATGGCCTTCACGATTACAAGCGGCCATCGCAAAGGCGTAGGCCTCGGGCGTAGGTATTAACAAGCGATATGAGGTCTCTCCAGAGGTCCGCTCCATGTCCGACAGCAAACCTATCGCCACATCCCAACGCCCCGCAGCACCGGAAGCCTTGATAAGGCCCTCCATGTACGCACACCCCTCGGGTCCCGCGATGCGCAAGCGTCCACAGCAGCAGCCGTCCTCGACCTTAGCGCGTACACGCATGACGGCCTGCCATAGCCTCTCCCTCTCCACCGGAGCAACGTTGTAGTGTGCACGGTGAAAGCTGTCCGCGCTCCGCCAGAGCGCGTCCAGGGCGTGCGTGTGCGTCGTGAGCGAGATCGCCCCCCCAGAGTCCAGTGCCCGCTCGTAAAGGCGAAGGGCCTCCTGCCACGGCCGCGAGCCGATGCCGCCGCTGCGGTACCCTGTCATGAGGGCCATGAGGCGGTCCGTCATTTCCACAGGAGGGCCCGCCCCGCACGGCCCGCCTGCACGTCTCCAGAGCCGCAGTGCGGTGGACCACGACACGTCCAGGTGGGCGAGGTCCGCGAGCACGTCGGTGGGGACGGGGAAGGGTCCCGCGCGGCCCTGCCGCAGCACGTGCGCGACCCGCGCAACGTCGTCGTCGTCCGCGCCCTCGACCGTCAGCCCCAGAGACGGGGAGAAGCGACTGCCCTTCTCGGCGTAACGCCCCAGCGCGCGACACTGGGAGAGCGCGAAGACGTGCTCGTCAGCCGCGTCGATCGCCCTCCAGCGGTCGTCCTCGGAGCCGACCGCGGCGGACAGGGCGGCGTGGTAGGCCTGGGGATCCCCAAACAGCTCCCGCGCCTGGTGCCGCACCAGCGCGGTGGAGAGGGCCCTGAGGGTGGGTGTTGTTATCCCGTCATCGGTTGACTGGGCGAGAAGAAGGAAGGTCTCAACTGCGGATGACTTGTTCGGCGAATGTTGAATCGCATCAGCGGCTTGACGTTGGCGCTTGGACTCGTACGGCACGCCAAGAAGGGCGTGTTGCAGGGTTCGGTTCGCAACGACGAGGCGGCCCAAGTCGCACGCAGAGGGGGAGTCCGATACGAACGGCGTAGATGTAGGGGTATGAAAAAAATGCGCGCTGGAAATATGGGTGGGTGATCGACAAGGGTGAGCTCCGACGTTGGGATCCGGGTGACCATTTTGAGGGGCCGCCTCAACTGCCGGTCGCGATTTTGACTTGTAAAGGAGCTTGAGCTGCTGCTGTCGGCGAACAGCTTTCTTCAAAGGCTCTCTTACTCGGAAAACGCGCTGCATACGCTGGGTGTAAGCGAGCATAGACTTTTTTTTAAGAAAAGAAGTTTGCCAGGAAAGAAAAAATTGCTGCGTCTTTTCACTGCCATTAACAAAAAGGGTAGAAAATGAATATAGCAGAGCCATTAAAGCTTTAGTAAGATAAAATCCTACTCTTTTCCTCTATCCCGCATAACCACACAAAGGCGGATAGAGGGTAGGGTAAAATTTTCGATCTCAGATATGTTCACAATATTGAAAAAAAAGAAATGGTTCTCAGGAGTTGTGAAGGTAATATATTTTAAACCGTGCGTAATCAATCCGACAGTATAAAATGTGCTTACACTGTCTGTGTGAGCCTAACGATAGGAAAAAAAAACAACTCCATTTTGGAAAGGGTGAGATAAAAGCACACCAGAGCCCGATAGAAATCAAACATAAAAATGATAATACAATAAAAAATTGAGCAATATTTTTTGTTCTGAGATACTACCGCAAACCACTCTACAGTGCATCCAAAATAAGTTCAAAAAGAAAAATGAACGCAGATCCTGCAAAGGATCCTTTCAATTAGGGAAAACCATTACCATTCTTATTGACCATAAAAACTTCTGGGCATGCTCTTTACCTCTGTAATAGAAGAAGAAGAATTTTGTAGTAAACTGCACAATTAGGATTCACCTTTATAGCATGTTTATTTTTGTTTGTATGCATTTCTTGTCTCTCTTCCCTTTCCCCTGAGTGCGACATGAATCATTTAATAAACCTCCATAAAGTGTTGGAATCTGGAGCGCGCCCTGAAATTACACCTCATCGGTAGCCTCTGTGGATTTTGCGCTACAGGACGCTGCCTCCGCGAATTGGTCAGAGGCTTGGACGTGATGCAACGTCGTGTCCGACGCGGAGCTTTTTGTAGACCCCATCTCACCCTCCTCTTCATGCAACATGTGAAACATGCTAGACATCTTCTCCATGTCGGAGATCCTCTCCTTGACGCGTTCGCCATAGTCCTCTGGGAAAGGGTCCAAACTAAGGGAAACAGTGGGTTGGTCACCCACCTCGGCCCCAGCCCTAGCTTCGATGTCTACCGCCTCCAGAATACGTGACCCCACCTCCAGCAACTTCTCCTCCAGGAAAGGAAGCGACCACACGAAGGTATTCATAAAGTTTGGCAAATAGTATGGATGGGGGCTGCTGTTAAATTGGCAAATTTTCATGATATTCTTGTTCAATACAATAATCGCGGCTCGATTGTCGTACGCATCGCAGTAGTTCGGTGCCGAAAAGACGCAGATCACACTGGGGAACCCATGGGCGCCTTTCTTGTACAAGTGGAACCCCTCGTTCTGTGCCTCGTGGCCACGAATGATGGAAACCAAATTATTAAACTCAAGGAACTTGCTCACAGCGGATTGGCTATAGACATAAGAACACCCTCGGGTTGTGTTAGGAATAAAAGCCTGCGGGTAGTTCGGATCCTTTTCCCGCTCATCCATGGGATCGGCCCAGAGGAGGTCGCACATGGGGCCGGAGGCGGGGGTCTCACGAAAACGATGCATCGCATTGATGTCAGCAATGCTCTTGAGTTCCGGGGATAGACCGGCATGGACGCAGAAAAAACGATTATTCAGAACGCACGCCAAGGGCAAGCAGTCGAATGTCGATATGATCTCGTCGTAGAGTCTCCTCGAGTACTTGTACTCAACCTCACGCTTGAAGTTGAAGTACGCGGTGAGGTGACGACTCTCGTGGTTTCCACGTAGAATCACCATCGTGCGCGGGTAGCGTATTTTATAACACATCAATAGTAAAATAACCTCGACCCCAAAGCAGCCACGGTCGACATAATCCCCTAAAAAGATGTATTTCTGGAAAGCAGGGTCACCGCCGAGCTCAAAGAGGGAGATGAGATCGAAAAATTGGCCGTGAAGGTCGCCCGCGATCGCGACCGGGTCCTCGATCTGCAGGACATTCGGCTCATCCTTCAAAATCATCGCGCAGCAGGTCACAATGCGCAGGGCATCGGCCTCATGCAGAAGACCCTCCCGCCGGAAGTGCTCCTTGACGACCTCCGGGCGCGGTAGGCCCTCAGCATCATAGAGAAATCGCGCCGGCAACGGCTCCCAACAAGGGGGGTTAACCGTGGCGTCGCCGCGCTCCACCAGCAACATCTGCTGTACCGGCCCCACAATCCTCGACACTGACTCCTCGGCACTATCGCCTGTTATGGAGGACGAGGAGCACAGCCCACACGACTCGATGGACATCCCCCGTTCCGTTCGTATAGATACACTAACGAATTGAGCAGCGATATTTGTTCTAATTTTTTCTTCTTTTTCCCCTCCTCCCAGAGCACAGAGGTCTATTCCCTGTCAGGATTCTGACTTGGGTTAAAATACTACACTATATTTTCCCTATGGCGTTTTTTTTACACCTTCACGACGACCAAAAAGGAGAGGGGAAGGAGAGTTTGAAACATAATTCACCCCAAAAATGCGGTAAAAAAACGCCATCCCACACCAACAAGATACCGCTTCCTAAAAAGACATTTCTTCTCCATACATCTATAGGGAAAGATAGATCAATATTTAGGAAAGAAGAAAGAGAGAATACCACTTTCCCGTTCTTCCACCTTTTTTTTTACAGATGTTCCAACACCGTTGGTAGACGGCGATGATTAAATACCTCCCCACTTCGGCTAAGCCAATTAGCTGGCCAGTCGAATCCTCTGCCGCTCCCCCCCCCCCCCCTCACCCGCATGACGACCCCAGAATGAAAACCCACCATCTACCCGCTCTCGCTGGACGACGACGCGCTTCGGAAAGACGCC